TACTTTGGTCACTCTGTCCCCATACATCTGTATAGTTACCAGGTGTTCATTGAGCTTTTAAATCAGAGTGTGTGAGTTTTTGGTCTGGTAGTCTCCGCACGTCCCATTGCGTGTGACGGGATGGAAACAGGAAGCAGACGACCCCACAGAGGATCTGATTGGGGTTCACATCAGAGGGGCATCCCAGCGGAGGCTGATTGTCACTGCGCCCTGCAGGTGTCACCGCTCTCCAGGTGCGCTCCCCCTCCCTGCCGCTGCTCCCCTCCTGCTGCCACTGCTGCTTCTGCTGCCCTGCCATGCCCACCCTCAGCCAGCGCCGCTCTGCTCTCCCCCAGCAAGCTGAACTCCAGGTCACCGACACAGCCGGAAGGGTGGGTCTGGTATTCCTACAGACGTCCGCGAGCTTTGTTCTGGGATGCAGTCTGGTCATCGGATTTGACCCTTCCCAGTTGTGCTTTGAGGGTCTGCTGGACAGGCCTGCACAGGGATCAGGTCGTTGGAAAATCAGGACATTTTTCTACGGTTTTCTATGCAAACATGTGTCATGACTTTCCCGACAGCCACTTCTGCGGTTAGACCCACTCTGCACTTACCCAGTGCTCGGCGGATCACGAATGGTGACGTTTTCTGGTCTGGCTGTTGGGTACAGGCCTTATCTCTGGCCCTGTGTTAACCCGACAGGCACCTCGAACCCTCCCAGGCAGGTCTCTCCCCAGCCTGAGGCTTTCGCACACATGTGTCAAGAGAAAGACCATCAGGGAACCAGCAGTTAGCGTAATGGCTATGTCGATGGACTCCCACGTAGTCGACCGCGGTTCGCGTCCTGGACCCGGTGGCTTCAAACTCACGCCGGGCGCGTGTGCGTGTGTGCCCAAGATCCCGAGAGGAGAATGGAGGAGAAGGGATTGCGGCATGACCATCCCCCCTGGGGGGGTGATTTCTCGCTCTCTGTCTCTCTATCTCTCTTTGTCTATCTGGCGAGCGCACACTCCCTGTAGCGAAAAAACCTCTCCAAAAAAAAAAAAAAAGAAAGAAAGAAAAAAAAAAGAGAGAGAGAAAGACCATCACTGAAATATGCCTATCCTCAGATCATATTGCGGATTAGGCTGGCAGCTGGTCACAGTGAGGGCTGTAAAGGCACAGGTGGGATGTCCCCAAGTATTCAGAATAAGGGGATGGGACCAGAAGTTGGTTCCAGTTACGCTGGAGCTCATCCCACTGGAAAGCACCTGAGAGCAGCATCTGGGAACTGCCTCGCAATACACACACCCCGAGGACCAGGCGTGAGTGCCGAGGAGGGAGGAAGGCAGATGGGCCTGTGGACACCCTCACGATGTGTGAAAAGGCTAGGCTCCCTCTAGCCTCCAGTCCACTTGGAGAGGCACCCGAGAGCACTCCGCCAGAGCAGCATAGGGAAGGACGGATGACCTGTTCCTACACGCGGTGCTGGCTGCCCCGACGCACAGGCCAGCTGTGACGTGGACGCGCTCAGCGTGCCTGGAGTCTCAGCCGCAGCTCTGCCAAGGCGCTGAGCTTGTGTGTGTGTGTGTGGGGGGTAACCCAGAGAGGGCGGCCAGGACTTCAGCTGCGGGCTGTAGGAGCTCCTTGCTAATTCCAGCCAACCTGGACCCTGACTGCTCTGTGCCATCAAGGGAGGGAACCAGCCTCAGAAAACAAATGCTTCCCAAAGCCATCCGGAGACAGGGAGTTGGAGCAGCCATACAAATGTTGACTGAATGTCAACAATAAGAATTGTTAGGACTTGTATTTCATAATCTGTGTCAGACGGCTGATACCTTGGCTCTCTTGGGACTGAGGCAGGGTCGTGCTTTCAAATTTGGAAAAGTTCTAACTTTACTAGTGAGTCAATGTGGGGGGTCTGAGAAAACACAGCAAAATTGGGGCCAGGAGATGGCATAGCAGTTCTGTCACTGGACTCCCACATGGCTGACCGTGGTTTGAGTCCTAGACCTGGTGGCTTGAAACTCACACCAGGCATATCTGTGTGCGTGCCTAAGATCTGGGAGGAAAATGAAGAGAAGGGATTGTGGCATGGCCATTCCTCCCAGGGGGTGATTTCTCACTTTCCCTCTCACTGTGTTTGTCTATCTGTCTCTGTCTCTCTCTCTCCAGAGAGTGCATGCACACTAAGACAAAATCTCTAAATAAAACACCAAAAGAGAATCTAAATTTTTTTTACTTGAGCTGCTAAAAGGATGGAGTTGCCATTACTGAGATTAAAAGAAAAAAAAAGGACGACACCAAGAGTGAACCCTAATATAAACATAACTTTGGGTGGTCATGGCCTGTCAGTGTAGGTTATCCGAGGTAACAAATGTGTCAGCACTTCCTCTGGTGCAGGGTGCGACTTGGGGAGATGACGCCTGCATGGGGACAGGTGCATGGGAATTCTCTGCTTCTCACTCAGCTTTTCTGTGAACCTAAAACAACTCTAAAAATAGTCTATTTTTAAAATGTGTATGTAAAACTGGTTTGGAAGAAGAAGACAAAATATCTCATTTTTAGTGTGCTAAGTTTGAGATACCTAAAAAGATAACAACTTGGTAAGGCTATGAAAAGTGATACTGGGACCAGCAGTTGGCGTGGTGGCTATGTTGCTGGACTCCCACGTAGTCGACTGTGGTTCAAGTCCCAGACCCGGTGGCTTAAACTCATGCTGGGCGCGGCGTGTGCATGTGTGCCCAAGATCCCAAGAAGAGAATGGAGGAGAAGGGATCGTGGCATGGCCATCCCCCCTGGGGGGTGATTTCTCGCTTTCTGTCTCTTCTCTTTCTGGCAAGCACATGCGCAGTATAGCAAAAACCTCTCAAAAAAAAAAAAAAGAGAACAGTGACACCATACCCTGGTCTGATAAGTTAATTCTGCCGATTAACACTCTTATCTCGTGTTTGAAACATTGTGTTATTTAGTGGGGAACTGGCCATAAAAGCACAATAGGTACTATAAAATTATTTTGACCAAAATGACTACCTAATTCTTTAAGGAATAAATGCGATACTCATGGCCCATTTTGCAATACAAATCCAGAGATCATGCGTACACTAGCCTGCCTTCTCTTTCCTTATGAAGACACTAACCAGTGGGTTAGTGAACTATAGTTTTGCAAGATGTTGTCACTGGAGAGATGGGGTAGAATACACAGTGTAGCTCTTTCTCCCACGCCTGCCTCAAAAATCAGTTTAATTTAAAAAATATTAGCCAAAGACCAAGGGGTGAATAACAGGGCATGAGTTAATAAAATCCTTTCTCCTTCTCTGTAAAATAATTTGACTTTTGTTAGCTTCCTAGTGCCATTCCCCAGGTAACCTACCAAAGAATTATATTAACAGTGTCCTCGACCAAACTTATATGGGGTTCCGACTACCTTAGGGCCTGTGTGCTTACCTGGAAGAGAGACAAAGAAAGGGAGAAATCACCCCCAGGACAGATGGTCACCTGCAATCCTAGCTCCTTCATTCTCCTCTTGGGATTTTAGGCACGCAAGCACACGAGCCCAGTATGATTTTCAAGCCTCTAGGTCTGGGACTCCAAGCACCATCACCTATGCGGAAGTACAACATCTAAGCACATAGCCCACATCAGTTGCATTTTTTTTCTTCCTTTTTTTTTTTTTTTGGAGAGGTTTTTGCCATAGGGCACGTGCACTCGCCAACACAAAACGAGAAACCGTCCCCTCCCCTTCCCCGGTTTAAGTTTAAACCACTGAGTCCGGGATTCGAACCTCAGTTGACTTCATGAGAGTGTAGTGATGTAGCCATTACACCATCCTCTTGTCCCAACACCTGGTATGAGATTCAAGCCACCAGATCTAGGAATTGAACTACTGCCTACCATGTGAGGGTCCAGCGCCTTACCTGCTATGCCACCTGCTGCCACCCCCACACACACACTTTTTATTATTATTATTATTATTATTACTACCAGAGGGCACTGCCTCACTGGAGGGAGACAGCACCCTCAGTCAGGCTTAGTCGAAGGAAGTAGGGACTTGCCATACAGGTCACCCAGGCGCCAAGGGAGCCCTCGCAGAGTGTCCGGGCGCGTGGGCCAGGCGGGGCGCCCGGGCACACAAGCCCCGAGAACTACACTTCCCAGAAGCCGTGGGTTCCCGCGTGGACTACGTTTCCCACAGGCCCCCGTGGCCGCCCTGTCCGCGCACAGCCCCGCCCCCGGGCCGGGTAGGCCGAGCCGCGCCTGTCG